AAAAAAAAAAAAAAAAAAAAAAAAAAAAGAGAAAAAGAATTAATCATAGTCATATAAAACTTCAAACTTGAAAGGCTCTAATTGTTAAAGGACACGTGTCGCAAAGGTACACATCGCACATTCTTCGTGTGCACCGATATGATGATGTAATTATAGAGTGACATTTTGCATGTTTACTGTCTGTTGATGTAACCCCCCTTGAGAATGATGGTGGAAATTCCTTGACAATTGGCAACAGGAAAGTGTTTTTTTTTTTGTTTTTATTTAATATTTCTCTTTTTCATAACGAATTAATCTGTGCGCACACATTTGAAAACCTTACCTGCCGTGTTATACTTGGATACCCTTAAATTCTCTGTTGCAGATTTCACCCACGGGTGAACATTAAAAATGAGAAAGACAAAAAAGGACAACAAGACATTCATTTTGAGCAGTGAGCATTACTTTAAAATGCAGTTACAAAGTCAAATTGGGAGTGTCATGTGACAGTGCGTGTTTTTTTTTTTTTTTTTTTAACTTTTTTTACATTATATTGCATTACAGCACAGTACATTATGTTTTTTGAGGAACAAAAAAAAAAAGTTATATCTACCACATGGATAAATGATTCCTTTCCTGTAAATTCCTTTTTTAGTTTTTAACTATTCGTAGCATATTGAGTGTGGCACGCAATGCAACATTTTTTGTGTATATACATGAACGCATAGGTGAATAATAGTGCCCATCTTTACAACGACCAAATGGTGGACTACGGCCTCCATCAAAATTTACGAGCCCAGACAACGTCTTGGTCGCTTTTTCGCTACTGCTAAGAGGGGGTAGCAAGACACTGGGATTTTCCTATCCCCCTTTAGGCGAAACAGAACGATAAATGCTTTAATTTAAGAAAATGTCAAAACGATTCTGCAACACGGGAAAAACGAAAATAATGCTAATATACATGTGCCATATTTTACACGTTTCGCTCGCTCGGAAATAATTTGCAGCGTTTTCCTTTTATCATTTGTTGTTTCCACTTTGTTTTGTTTTTTTCCTTCGTCGCAATGGATGAAGGAATTAAAATAACTCAAAATGACATTCCGCCATCACCGCTTTTACGCATTTATAACCTTGAATGTAGCGCGTTAAAAACGTGGCTCCAATTTGACCTACCCTTCCTTTTGTTCGTTCATTATTGTAGGCGTATAAAAAAAACGCACGATTATCCTGTTTCTCCACAAAACAAACGACGTGCTTTTCTTTCACAAAAATGGAATGTGCATATATGCATGGTCATATAACTACACACAACATTCCAAGCGACTATCAAGATTGTTTAAACATTTTTAACAGCTTTATCTCGCCGAGCATTATTTCTCATTCCCAGCATTTTAACATTTGTCTACCTGAACTTTCGCCATTTTACATAGCGTGGCTACGTGAAATTTAGTCAAAGGGGTTCGCCTCACCTATTTCTTAAGGAGTCTTTGCTCATTTTAGTGAATTTACGCTTATGCAAGAAAAATGTCAGTTATCGTTTTTCCGCTTTGCATTGTGGTAAATTTTAAAGTCTTTTCTCTGCTCCGTTTTTACTTCCATATTTTACTTTTCCACTTTCACTTCTTTTTTTTTTTTTTTTCCCTGTTAATGTGTAAAAATAAAAAAAAACGGGACGCGTGAGTTCACCGTGGAGCACACAGCGGTACTGGACAAAATTTTTTATAATACCTCCCCAAAGCAATAACAAGTACATGGGGGGATTTTTCCAGTTATTTGTACGTAGATGACAGAATGGCGTACATGTATTTTTCTTCATACGCTGTTTAATTGGCTTCCGCGTTCAATTCCATTTTGTGTCTTTCACAAGGTACATGAGGTTAGTTCGGCGATTGTTTGTCCCCTTTGGCGCGCGCTACTGGAGAGCACAATTGACGCTTGCAAATATTGTGCCCCGCGATGTGAGTCCCCTCTGGATATCACCCCATTTTCGCCGCAAATCCTTCTACACGCTTGTCTGTTTAAGGGTGCTAATGGAGAGGTGTTCGCTCAAGCGCGCGTTTTCGCACGTGTGTGAGTCTATATAGAAACACACTCAAATGCATCCCGCATAAATACACACACCTTTTTGTATAGCTAGCTTTTAAAATGAGCCACATGTGGCCATGCAATGTGACTAGTCTACATTTGAAGGAAAAAAAAAAACAATTCACAACTTGTTCATGCTGATTTAAAAAAAAAAAAAATGACAAAATGGAGGAAGAAATTAGTGAAGAGTTTATAAGCCTATGGATGGAGAACAAAATAAGTTTTTCAAAGTACAGCTTTAAGAGCTTATGGAATAAAAGTTACAACAACGTGGTTCAAAAATGGTTGCATAATATGAGTAACAAGATACTGTTTATATACCTGATGGAGTGTGACGAGGAGACGAAATTAAATTTCTCTTTGGACTTTTCCACCGAAATTATAGAAGAAACAATTGAAGAATACATTTTGTTTTTAAAAATTAACAGCAAAAAAATAACACAAGACAATATAGATAGCGTGGTACTATACAATAAGGTGAACTGCAAAATAAAGGAAAACATTTTAAACTTAATGGACAGAGTATTTATACCTATGCTGGACATGAAAAACAGCTCTCCGATAAACATACAAAACGACTTCAACATCACAACTATCGAATTTATGACGTACATAACACAGTTATTTTCTAAAAACAAATTAATTTACTATCCAAAATTTTCAGTCGACGAGATTCATTTGTTCTCGGCTGACAAAAATTATATTCAGTTGCTCGAAAATTTGGTGGACCACTGGATTAATGACATCCAAAAGCTGTTTAGCAATGTAAGACCGTTAGGAGAGGAACAGCGGGGTGGAAAAACAAAAATAAAATTTCCGTCTAGATGATATGCATTTTTATTATATAACGTTTTAACATACGGATCGGCTCTACTCTTATGCTGAATTAGGGTTACCATGGGTAGAGAATAAATAGGGTTCACTATCCTGTGAGCATGTGGACAATTAGGCAATCATGGCACACACATAAGCACATTAGTCCAACATTTGCGACGTTATGCATTTTTTGTAATCCAAAAAAAAATGGTGTACCTTACACCAACACTGCCAATGTTATAGCCGCTCTTTATGAACACACTGTGTGCCCCCCGTTACTCTACCCCCTCTGTGCAGATCTACGACAAAGAAATAAACTACCTGACGCTGAGTGAGTATATTTCCGACGTAGAGAAAAAGCATGGCATTTTAAAGGACCTCCTGGAAGAACTCAACTTAGATGCAATAAACTGCATCTTAAACGTTTTGGAGAAGAACAACTGCGCGAATATAAAAACATACAACGGGTTGATGACACAGATAAGGGAAAAGTGCGAGAAGCTGGAAGAGAAGCTGAAGGCGCTAAAAATTCTGGAGGAACCCTTTACCAATTTAAATGATGATGTGTCTATCGACCATGTGTACAACATTTTGCCCATTATTGTAAATAGGCTGAAACTAATTTTTACCTTTTCGAAATATTACAAAGATTCGGATCAGATAAACAGCTTGATAACTCTGCTATTAAATGAGTTCATTAAGAAGCTGCATAATTATATCGACCTTTCTAAAATGTACACTAGGGAGGTTAGGCAATTGTCTGAGACGCTAGACGAGTGCATCAACTTTGTGTTTTACTGGAACTACCTGATGGATATGTCGTTTAACCAATCGAACGAGGAGAACGCTCCCTTCAACTCTATCATGCGCCAGATGAATCTATCCAATGTAAGTGCGCTTTTGAGGGTAGACCTAACTATACTTGCGCTTCGGCTTTTTTTTTTTTTTTTTTTGTATACATGTGTCTCGCTATAGAGTGCATCTCAGTGTGGCTTGCCACTTTCTGGTGAGCACAATTACGCCAAATGATATTTTTATCTTATTCTGCCCCATTGTTGTTCACATCCCTCCTGGTAGATAACATCCTTCAAGCAGAAGTGCGCGGACCTGAAAGAAATCTGTTTCGCGTGCGAGCAATTCCTTTTTTGCGTGAAGGAAAAAGACATAAAAACACTTAGTTATGAGCACTATCACATAATCAAGAAAGGGTTCAATGATATTGAATCCACCTTCTTCAATGAGCTAAATCGAATACGAAACCTAAAGTACAACATTCTGAGCATAAAAAATAATGAATGGAACAGCGATTTTAAAAAGACAAAGGAAATAATAAAAGTGCTAGAAAGTATATTCATCAATTTAATTAAAATATCGTTTGAAAATTCCATCAACTTCGAAACAACCATTTTCCTATTTGACAAATTCTACACCCTAGCAATCACAGAAAATATAAAATCGTTCATGAATAAGAAGGTGGTAGATTTATGGAACGATTTTGTACAGTATATAGACACGTACTCCAAATATTTTGCGAATTTTCTGGACAACCCATTCAACTATTTCTCCTACAACATCAGATATGAATACCACTCTTCCTGTATCATGCTCGCAAAAAATATCAGCATAAAGCTGCATAGGACTTTTGACAAACTCAATAGCCTCTTTTATCTCCCAAAGGTAAAGGAACAAGAAGTGGCATACGAGAAGTATTACGATTTGCAGAATTCAATAAATACATACATAAAACAGATTAATAATATTTGGATTAATGAGTTAAAAACAATTGCGTCAAAGAAGAACAACTCGCTTGTTAACACGCTTTTAGATAATTCCATTCTGATAAAGGTGAAGGAAAAGTACCTGGAGAGCACATATAACATGGACATAAAGAAAGTACTCTCTGAAGTGAACTTCTGGTTAAAGATTAAAGACGAAAAGATATTTCTCCCTAATGTGATTATTGAAATATCTTTTCATGAGGAGAGACTTAAAACGTGCAAAGAATATGTAAACAGACTCGTCCGAAACTATAACAACATCTGCATGATGTTGAACAGTGATCAGTACAAAATATTTGAATACGTCCTCAGGAACATGTATAGCAACATTGAGAACACTGTCTTTAAGTACAATTGGAATAAGGACAACATAAAGTTGAGCGTTCTCTTCAACTTCCTGAATGAGTGTATCCACATAAAATCGATCATTGCCACTTTCAAAAGGAATGATGAAAAAATAAAAGATATACTCAACGAGATAGAAAAAATATCCATCATTGCTATTGATGATAAAAGAACCTACACATTGGAAGAATTTGAGGAGGACCAGAATATTAACCTCGAGGGGATAAGAAGCATTTTACGAGATAAACACACTAACATTGTTAAAATATTGAAAGAAATTCTTCTTTATATTGAAAAATATTCAAACAAAAGCTTAAATGCTTTCAAGAGCTACATTGCCAATATTGAGAGGAACTACCAGGAAAAGTACTTCATTTCAGTTAAGGTCTCTCTATACAACTACTATAAATTATTGACTGATAAAATTAGCAACGACGCAGTAGAGAATTATCCCTTATTTAAAATTTATGTTACACTCAATAGTAAAAAAGAATTTGTTTATGACTTTTCCCACCAGTCTGCAAAAAATCTCACTGACGAAATTTATAAAAAAGCGTCCGACATATTTTTCAGCTTCCCCAAATTTAGTGTCGTCATATTCAAAAATAGACAAAAACAGGTAAAGAAAAAACTAGCCTTCGCGTTCAGCACTACAAATGCGAATGATAAAGATATACAAAACGATGCAAAGGAAAATCAACTCAAGAAAAATGATAATAATAACCAGTGCAGCAAACTGCTAAGTCAAATTAACAACATTTACATCAATTTTATGGAGAAGCTCAAAGAAAAAATAAAGTGGCTCAAGCACTACAATTTGAAGCTCCTAAGCTTGAATGAGCAAGAATTGCTGCACAACCTCCACTCGGCTGAAGATACTATGACTTACGTCTACAGCCAGATAAACGTGTTCAGGAATTTGGAGGAAAATATAAATCAGGATATCGACAAGGTGGGTCGGCGAAGCAGACGAAGAGAATAAAGGAGGGGGGCACACGCTCCGCTTAGGAACGGGTCACCAAACGGAGCAGAGAGAGGCGGAAAAAGACAAGGGATAGATCCGTCCATGTGCTGCGCTGCAAACACTCCCCCCCAAAATTTGCACTTCCAATGAGTGGGGGGTGATATCCCCCACACCCCCTTCAGGGGAGTGTTTTCTACTCACCCCCCTGTGACACTGCTTTACCCTCTATGCCCCCTTCAGGAAATCATCCTGTTCATCGAAATAAACCTGAGCACGCTAAAGAAAGAACTGCTAGCGGACTTCAAAAAGTATAAAGACTTATTCCTGGATTACATAAGCGCAAAGTGCAAAAAGAAGCTAGAAGAGCTATATGCCTTCTTTAAAGAAAACAGCCACAATCTGCTCAAAACTGCAGTGGACATAAACGATCTGAAGGAACACAACGCTCTTCTGGAGCACTGCAGTAAGAACTACGCAACACATAAAAACGAGTTAGAAAATTTAGAAGAAGACTACTTAAAGCTTATAGAATTAAAAGGTGAATTAAACGAAGATGAGATAATGAAATTGAAGACCTCTTCCATCCTGTCCAACAAATTTGAAGCACTACTGAAAGAGAGTAGAACCATGTATCTGGACACTAAGGAAAAAATGAAAAATGAAATTAAAAATGCGTACAACGAATTTAACAAGCTATGGCAAAAAAAGAAATTAGTTTTTTATAAAGAAATACCAATAAGTATTGACAACAACCCTAATGACGTTCTGGATATGATCACCTTTTATGAGGATGAATTGAAGAGCATCAAGGAGATGCAGAAAGGACTGAAGAACAAAATAAGCCTATTCAACATAGACGACGTATGCGACGAACAAATAAATGAAATGGAGATTGATTTGAATCACCTGAAGAGCATATGGAAAATGATCAAATTTTGGCAAACTGTTTTCGACTTTGTTAAGAACGTTAGTATATTTTTCCTGCACGACATAGTGAATGATCTACTTGTACTGGTGAAGGAATATAAAAAGGAACACATGAGCGATACACTGGGGTTTATACAGCAAGAGCAGGATTCCGAAAGCGACTTGGACATTTCTAGAGATGGAGAGATACATAGGGAACCAGACCAACTGGAGAGTAGCTACTCAGGCGGCTTCCATCCTAATGGACACAAAAAGGATGAGAAGAATGCACAAGATGAAGAATATGGAAGAGGTCAAGGGATGGTTGTTCAGGAAGCCAAAAATTTAAACATAAAATTCTTCCTGAATCAGCTAAAAACAAACTTTCTGGACATCTTCGAGCAGTTCTTAATAAATATGAAAAGAAGAAACAGCTGGGAGATATACAAAGAGCTAAAAAACAACGTCGGAAAGCTCAAGTTTTCACTAATCCTTGTAGAAATACTAACAAACGAGTGCATGAAGTATAGGCATTTTAAAGAGATAGAACTGAAGACAAATGTCCAGTGGAACCTCAGCAGCATCACCCTAAATGATATAATAGAACAAAAGTTATATAAAGAAATAAAGTTTATCACCATCCTGTACAACAACGCAGAGAAGGAAATGCTCATAGAAAATAACTTAAAAAAAATCATTAAGAAATACGAAAATATGAAATTGTCAATACAGAATTGTAAATCTTCTCTACTAATACAAGATACAGAAAAGATTTTTAATAACATCAATGAAGATCTTTTCGTTCTTAATAATATTAAAATTTACAACTTTGACATAAATTTTTTAAAAAAAACAGAAAAGTGGGAAGGAATATTAGGCAACCTATATGACAATCTAGAAATTGTATTTTTCATTCAGAAAAAAAATGAATACTTAAAATCCATTTTGTCTTCTTCCGACGAAATGAAGCCACACCTGAATAAGATTTACGAGCAGTACAATTTGTGTAATCAGAGATTTGTGAAAATGATTAAGAGCTTCCAAAATGGGTATGTGCTGGACAAAATTAACAACTGTAATAATGTGTGCACATTTTTGCAAATACAGAAACAGCTAAACTTTATAGAGAAATCTTTAGAGAGTTATTTGGAGAAGAAGAAAAGTTCCTTCCCTAGATTTTACTTTTTATCCAATAAAGAAATTTTAGAAATACTTGGCATATATAAAAATCCAATGTTGTTAAAAAAAAAAATACAGAAAATATTTTCCTCCATTTATTCTATGGAATTTGTGTCCTCAGAAAAAAAAACGCATTTTCAAAAAAATAATTCAAAGTGTGGTGTTGCTGCATACGATTACAACAAAAGCAGCGTCAGTTTTAATTACAAAAAAGGGGCTCATAAAATTACCTCCAACTATAATAAGGATAAAATTCAAAGGGACGAATTTCCCAATACATATGAGCAGGGCATCACAAATGTAGACAATGCAGATATTAACTGTTCGTCCTATTTTGACATTTATATCTTTTCTCAATACAAGGAAAAGATAAAACTACACAACAAGATGAAACTAAATTATGAATCCTCAACTATTATTCTAAACAAATTGGAAGAAAATATCTTCGAAACATTGAAGCTGGATTTGGTAAATGTACTGCTAGAACTCAAAGAAAAAAATCTGAAGAACTGGATCTTGAACAACCCTCAGCAGCTAGTTTTGGCCAGCAAGTGCATCAATTTTACCAACGAATATGAACACTTTCAAATTCAAATTAACAAAGGGTCACACATTTTCGTAAACCAAATGAAAAAGCAAAACCATAAAGAGCTACTTTTCCTCACAGACTTGATAAAAACTATCAAAGATAAAAAAAATTACATAAAAATCAGCGCCTTGATTATCCTCGAAAGTTATTACAAAGATGTTGCAGAAAAACTGATCAAAAATAAAATAGAATGTAACGACAACTTTTTGTGGATGTGTCAGCTGAAATATATTTTGTCTGAGGACGAGTATGACGAAAGTTCCCATTTTCAGAAAAAATTTTCATCCAACGATGTGACGGAAAAGGCAGATTTTGTGTGTGCAGAAGATGCTAACAAAAATTCCTACAAAAAGGGCAGCAGTCGTCACGACCTAGAGCTGGAGTTGCCCCACGTTAAAGGTGCAACCCATGTTGATGACGGGGCAAACGAGACAAATGCAGCGTCAACAATCAGTACAAATGAGAGGAACAAGAACATCGCGCACCTCTCAGTGAGAAAATCTGTCAATAGCAAAAATTCGTCCACTGCGGTGGAAAAATATACGAAACGGGACAAGTTCACTGCAAGTACAGGCGGCAGAAAAATTGGCAACCGCTCAAGTGTAAATGCAAAAGGTGCTGAAGAGGGAAGCGCTAACGGCGTTGCGAATGCAGGCATCCTCGAAAAGGAGGAGGAGCAGGATAAGGGAGAAAATGAGGCAGAAGAGGAAAAAGACGAATACGAAGATGAAGGGCAAGAGGAGCGAGACGACGAAGTAAAATCAGATACAAAAATGGAATCGATGGAGGAGGGGAAAGAGAAGGATGAGAACAACGCAGACGAGGAAGACGAAGAGGGAGAAGCGGATGAGGTAAACGACGCAGATGAAAATGACGAGGTGGAGGCGGCAGACCAAATAGATGAGATAGATGAAGCCGACGCGGAAGTGGAGAAGAGGGAACCCCCAGGAGAAGTAGCTAAAACATTCCAAAAAGGAATCCTGTCCAAGAGAAATAAACCCGCAAAAGATCACCTGGGAGAAAACCTCGACAATGTAGCTGCGAAGGATACCCTCAAGACAGATAATCTAAACGCAACTGATCTGGCCAATAAAAATAACAAGCAACTAAAGTATCTTAAAACGATAAATCTGATGATAAATAAATCCATGACCTTATATTTACACTATTTCAACAACAAGAAAAAATACGCCTATGAGTACCAGGGAAATACAAACAGGTTAGTCATCACCCCTTTAACCGAGAAATGCTTCTATTCCTGCTTGTTCTCCTTAGACAATTTTTTTGTGAATGCTATAAAAGGAGAAACCGGTGTTGGCAAGAGTGAAACGATAAAAGATTTTAGCAGAATTTTTGGGACGAATATTATTTCCATAAATTGTAACAATAATAACACGTCCAAATATATAGGGAATATTTTATCAGGAATCCTGCAGTCAGGATTTTGGTGCTGTTTTGACGAATTCAACAGAATAGACGAAAGTGTAATCGTTATCGTGGTTGAACAATTCAGGTGCATAAAGCACATCGTGCAGAAGTTCCACTTTGATAGTAACTGCGCAGACGGTCAACAGGAATATATGAATTACGAAGACATATCTTCCTATCATCAAATGGCGAAATGGAGACCTACAATTTGTGCAGATAAGCTCGATAACCACTTTTTGAATACGCATTGTAGTGAAACACAGGCAGATTTATCCATCAACGAGGAGAAAAAAAAGAACGTTTCTCAATTCGGTGTGAGGATAAATTCGAAGGAGGCAAATTTTGTAGCCCCAGTGAACAAACCAGGGGGTGATAAATCCGGTGAGTGTGGCAAGTCAAGGGATTTTTCCGAAACGCAAAAGGGGGGGAACAACTATGGAAGCGGTATTGGTAATGGAAACGCCCAGGGAAGCCTCTCCCTGGATTTCCACTCACCAACAAGCAGCGGACACGCCTTCTTCGAAGGGAAACATATTAAGGTAAAAAACAATTGCTCCATCTACCTCACACTGTGCAAAAACAATGACAACTGCTTGTATTCGCTAGAAAATTACAATAACGTGATTCAGGAATTCTCCTTTAAGCCCCCCAACTTTCATCTGATTTGCCAATTTTCTCTAATCTCCATTGGATTTAAAAACGCAAAAAAATTGTCCAAAAAAATACACATCTGTTACAGTCTACTGTACGAGTTTCTGTCTAAGCAGGAGCAGTACATAATTGACTTGCGAGAAATAAAGAAGTTTTTAAATTTAGTGTCTGAAGATTTTATCTTAAACAATAAAATAAAAAGTGAAGAGGAAATTATATATGACGCCATGGTGGAGGTAAACGAATCCAAATTGTTGAAGGACGATCTGGACATCTTTTACAATTTCCTCAAGGAATTATTTCCACTAGTAAAAAAAAAAACAGAAAAGAACAAAAATAATGACCTCTCTGTGAAAATTATAACAGACATTATGAGCAACATGGGATATACCATAAACGACTACTACATAAATAGTATTTTAAAATTGCACAAAATTAAAAAAACGAATAAAGGAATTGTCCTAGTGGGGAAGTCTTGTACAGGAAAAACAAGCATTATAAACATTTTCAAACATTACTGCGAGATTGTGAGAAATGCGAACGTTGTAAGAGGAGGTAACCTAAACTGGATGGACGATGATAACAAGGATGGGAAGTTCCTACACTATGAGGGGAAGGTAAAGGGAGACGCCACCTACGACAATGGTTATGGCATCACCAACAATGGTGAGATAAATCGCGCTATGGACGATTTTGCCTATATTAATCAAATAAATAACGTCCCATCGAATGCATCTCTGAACAGTAAGGGGACGTATGAAAGCTACAATTTGCTTTATCCGGTCAACCTGTTTTCTAATAAGTACAAAAATCAGGGGAATGCAAACATGATGGGAAAAAACAACAGCAGCAATAGTGGAAGCCACAGCACCAGTCATAATAGCCTAAGTGGAAGTGTTAAAAAATTGAGCAAAATTAGCAGCGCATTTTCAATGCAAAGTAAAAATTCTACAGGGGCACTACTCGATTTTTCAAACAAGTATAAGAAAAATATTAACACGAATGATTATTCTGTAGACATAACTGTCTTTAACCCTATGTCGACAGATGTGAAGAAGTTGTATGGGTACTACAATTCTGAGAAGGAGGTGTACGAAGATGGCATTTTGTCCCTAATAATGAAAAGGCTATTTGAGAATAATAACAGTATGAGCGAGAAGTGGTTAATTCTGGATGGACCATTGGACATCCTTACGACTGAACCGTTGCACTCCCTATTGGATGAAAATAAAGTACTAACGTTAATAAATGGAAATAGAATAAAATTTGCAGATAATGTATTTATATTTTTTGAGATTGAAAATTTAAAAAATTCTGCTCCCTCTTTTATAAGTCGATCTAAAATTGTCTACATGAATGAGGAAGAATTTAACTACGAGTGGTTGATTGAGAGTTACTTGCAGAGCAATTTTCCCAATGTAGAGGAGAAAAACCTGGTGCAGGGATTTTTCAACAAATATATAAAAAAAATTATGAATGCTAAGAGGAATAAATATAACTTAATTATCGATGTGAGTGACGCGCATGTTATTATATCCATCTGTCAGTTGTACGACATGCTGTGCAATTTGTATGATAAAAATTTCCCAAAAAATCTGAACCCTTCCTTATGCCTAGAAAAATTATTTCTCCAATCTATTATTTACACCTTCTGTAACATTTTATGCCCCCAAAGTAAAAAGTCTCTGGACCTGCTGATCAAAAGTATAGACAACAGCTTCCCACATTTACACACCGTTTTTGATTACATAATTAGTAAGAACAACTTTAACTGGGTGCTATGGGATGAGCTGATCACCACGAATCATAACTTCTTACCCAACGTGAAGGAGAAGTTTTTTTCCTATGACAATTACAACTTTGGTAAAAATGATAGCTCCATGAAATATATGAGTATGAATCAACTAAGTGAAACAATAAACCCTGAGACGGATTTTAATAAATTCTTTCTCAGCAGCAATTTACACGTTAGTAAAAATTTCAACAAGTACACCATCAACTATAACAACCTCTTCAGTGACAACGATAATAAAAATACCCTGAACGTTTATCAGACTTATCACACCAATTTTATACACACAAATGCAAACAACATGAATGACGCCAGTATGCTAGAAAATTATCACATGTTTAGCGATTACTCTAAGGATAACGTCTACTCGAACAATAACTACCTCGATTCGGACCTCTTCAACACATACAGCAAAAATAATATGTCCAATAATTTTTTCTCAGATAATAGCTTTTCAAATAACAATTTTTCCGATAATTTATTATCCTATAGAAATAATAAGAGAGAAAAAAATAACCTCGAAAACGGACATCATGAGGAAGACTACAATGTGCTCAATGACAATTTTATCGAGAGCTATAATAAGTCTTCCTCCCTGAAAGATATTTACAACCAAAAGGATAATCTTACCCAAAATGGCACACAAAAAACCAAGGAAAAATATTTCCATCAAAAATTCAATGACAATATATTTATAGAAAATGTAGAATCGTTAAGGAAAAAAAATATTATTAACATTTTAATGTACAACAAAAAGAATGTCCTGCTCATTGGGAATAAATTTAGTGGAAAAACGTTCTTCATGAAATATAATATTTTGCCCTATATGAAGGAAGACATATCCAGCTATTACACCTTCATTTCCAAGCTCTGCAATTCGAACAAGCTGGAAAAAAAAATTGAAATGAATGTTGAAAAGAAGTGTAGAAATATATATAAACCGGTGGGGAATAAAAAGTGCCTGTACTTCATCCTCGATGACTTGAACAATCTGCAAAAGTATGACTCCTCTGGGTTGGATTACTTCTCCGATGGTAACATCAACAATCAGGGCAGTGGAAGGAATGCCCTCTTCGACTTCAACATTAACAGGAAGTGCATTTCAAAGAATAACAACCCTAATGGAGACAATTCAGAGATACAAAATGGAAGCTCCATGAATAACACAAGCGTCTTTGAGTTCCTAAACCAATTCATTGACTACAACATGTACTATAATAAGGACAACGGGTCTGTTAAGAATGTGGAAAATTTATTTTTCTTCCTGATATATGGAAATAACAGAAAATGTGCTTCCACCTTTAACAGGAAATTGATAAACAGACTACACGTTGTACATCTGAACGAGATGGACGAAGCATGCATGAAAAATACTTTCCACGTTTTCCTAAGACATAAATTCTCTAATTTCCATGAAGTGATAAAAAATTTGGCTGAACCTCTCTCCTCGTCAACTATAAAAATCTTTTTCGATGCTGCCAAATATTTCAAAGCCAACTTAAATTGCTATCACTACTTTTTCCACTTGAAGCATATATTCAAAATAATGAAAGGCATGTACCTTTCGGAGGCTCCCATATATGAAGAGAAAGAAAGTGTACTTAGACTTTGGGTTAATGAATGCTTTCGCTCTCTTGGGGATCAACTAATTTTAAAAAATGAAAGGCAAAAATTTAAAAGCATTTTAAAAAATATACTACATAAAAAATTCTACGTAGTTTATAATTATCTTTTTCCCAAGAAGAAGACCTCATATTTCTGCTCCTACAATTTTCATGATACGAAAAATGAGAACCCCTACTTCTTCTACCAGCCTGTGTCCAATGAAAATGTCCTCATCGAATTTTTCAGGGGAGTTGTATCTTCTTACAACACTTTTGTTCTGTGCCCTTATTACAAGAAGAAAAATGAGTACTTCAAAAATCATGAAGCAGATGTGGGTACTGCCCGCACCGGCGGCATCGGGAAGAAGGACACTCCTTGTCGCAGCGCGCAGAGGCCAGTGGCCTCCAGGGAAAACAGCCTATATGAGATGTTCCAACACGCGGACGACTACAATGGGGGAAGTAACTATGAAAATGCGGAGAGAAATGGCTTCACAGATGGAGAGACAAATGGCTTCCTCGATGTACAGCGAAATGACTTGGCGAAAGGCGAACCAAATGAACACCCCATGAATGCCTCGCTGGACAAATCGCAGAAGATGTCCCAGGATATAGCCGTACTCGTGAGTAAGAATGACAACGATTTCAACAATATTTGCACACCCATCAATTTTATACTGTTTAAAGAAGCCATGATAAATATATGCAAATTTTCCAGAATCTTTCTCTTCGAAAATGAGCACTTCATATCGATTGGAGACAGCGGCCCGGGCAAATTTACGTGCTGCCTAATTGCGTGTTTTATATATCAAATAAAAATTCATGTAATTAAAAATTTCCACTATGGCAATGCCAATGTTGGGAACTGGGGTGATGAAGGTGGAGATGGATTACTCGATGGGGGACACGATGTTAGCGGATACAATGGGAAGGCGCCCCCTATAGTTGGAATTATGGATACTGAGGAGAGGGAAAAAAGTCAAGTAAGCCAGGTGAACGGAGAGAAAGGAATTAATGTCACACAGATAGGTGTGGAAGCACAACTTGAAGGGGAAACTAGCAAGGGGGACAATCCGCACGGAGAATGCCAGCCTGAAGAGAGACAAAACAAAGAGGGAAATCAGACAAACCATATTGTAAACACTATGGAGAGGAATACACCTATTTTGGACAAAGAAGAAGCGAACAAATTTAACTCGAACTCAATAAGCGCAAATAAAGGCGTGTCCATGATAGAAAAACTAAAGTGTAATTATTTCATAAAAAAATTTAAAGAAGCCATTTTCAACTGCTATAAGAAGGAAAAAAGGTGCGTTCTTTACTACCTGGACGATAACATGAGTGATAATATTTTGGAATTCCTCCACGAGCTCTACAACAACGTCAATATAATTAACATATTTAACAGTGAAGAAATAGCGTACTTGAAAAACATCTTCCTGCAGAATGAGATCGGCTTTAAAAACTTCGATACACTAAGCGAAATGGTGGAGGAACTGATCAAGACAAATTATCACTACGTCTTATTTACCACATTGAAAAGTAAAATGTTTAGAAAAATATCCAACGAGTATAATGTTATCCTGAAGCAGTCGACAGTCAACTACTTCTGCTCATGGAAAAATGTTTCGTACAATATAATTGCACAAGAAACGCTCAAAAGGTATAACCTAAATGTGGACGTATTTAGCAAGCTGCACAACACAGCATTGAAAATGTTCGAATGTGTCTTACACCATTTGGAGGAGAAACTAGAAAGGGAGAAAAAAGAAAAGAATTTTTTCCTCAACGAGTTTAGTAGTCACACAAACTTTAGCGATTATCAGAGATGTAAAAACGCAGGTGAAAAAATTTTTGGTGTCCCTAATCTAGATGAACAGAATAGAAGATACGAAAAAAACTCCACGTTAACCAAGTCCAAAAATGCTCTACTAGAGGAAAACAAACAATCCATGGAAATTAAGAATAGCCTCAAAATTAACACCAAGGAAAGCTGCCATATGAACTCCAACCAAACGAAGATCATCATGCAAAGTAAGAAAACAATTACCGATGGTACGGAAGAAAACATTGAAGACGGAGAAAATAAAAATGAAGACGAGGCAGAGAATAATATAAAATATATTAGAAACTCCAAAATTGTACAAGACAAACTAAACATACAAAAGTATATAAATTTTAAACACTTTTTCAACTTTTTACAATTCTTCGAAAAATTGTATAAAAAGAAATTTGAAGAAACGAATAACCAAGAAAAGAAAATTAACATAGCGCTGAGCAAATTGGCTGAAGCGAGGAACGAAATTCAAGAAATGCAAATTCAGCTAAGTCTGCAGAAGGAAAATATATCCAAGAAGCAAACCGAATGCACTCAACTACTAAAAGAAATAGAGGAAAAGAAACAAGAATCTAATGAAAAGAAAAAAAAAATACAAGAAGATAGCATTCGAATATCTAGTGTCGAGATAGAAACGCAAAAGCTAGCCGAAGATGCGAGAAAAGATTTACAAAATGCAATTCCGGAGCTTGAAGTTGCCACACAGTCCCTTGAACAGTTAGACAAAAAAAGCATATCAGAAGTAAAGGCTTATACAAAACCTCCAGACGTCGTCATGCAAACTTTATCAATTGTTATGATCATTTTGAATAAGACTCCAAGTTGGGAACAAGCGAAAATTGAACTAGGAGATGCAAACTTTTTAAACAAATTAAAATCATTCGATAAAGACTCCATATCTGATAAGACGCTAAAAAAAATTGAAAAGTTTACCAAAAATCCAATATACTCTCCCAAAGCTGTTAAGAAGGTTTCCTCCGCTACTGGTGCCCTGTGCATGTGGGTTCACGCTTTAAAAATGTATGCACAAGTATACCGGGAAGTAGCACCCAAGAGGCTGCGCCTGAAGCTAGCTGAAGAGTTACTAAGCAAAAACAGAAAGGAACTCGAGTTAACCATGGAACAGCTGAACCAAATTGAAAAAAATTTACAACACCTGCAGGAACAACATAATGAAAGCACCAAAACGAGTGACGAACTTAGCAGGTCATATGAAGAATCATGTCAAAGGATTGAAAATGTAGAAAAATTCTTCCTCAATTTAATGGACGAAAAGAATAGATGGGAAAAATATGTTAAGGATAATGAACGCGTTAGGAAGAGCATATATGGAGAATCAATTCTGTCTTCCTTTTTTCTGGTTTACACTGGTTTGCTCAATTATGAAGATCGGAAATTTTTAATTTATGATGCGTGCTACAATTTGTTGATTCGCAACCACATTTTTGTCAACACCAATTTTAACGTAGTCGATTATTTTATTGATCCTATCCAATCCCTCGAATTTAGAACTAATTTTTTATCTAACGATATATATATGAAGGAGAACTCGATTTTAATTAACAACAACTTTCTCTCCACTCTGATAGTGGATCCTCATTACCAGGCTGCCAACTGGATTAGGAGAAGTTACCTCAATAATGGAAAATCGATTGTCTTTTCTGATTTTCATTCATCGGACATATTTTTTAAAATAATTCATTGTATGAATACTGGAACGTCTCTACTAATCAACTACATCAATGAGGACTTGGAGGACATACTACTTTTAACCATTAAGAAATACAACAAGTTCATTTTGGATAGGGAAAGCAGTTCGATGTTGGATGATCGTCAATGCCAATCTGCAAACGACGCGCTCATAAGGGAGTACGCTAAGAGGAAGAAAATACTTCAGGGAGATTTCGAGGCAGGATACAAAGGTGGTGCGAACAACAGTGGGGGAGGTGTAGTAAGTACATTTGGACAAATTGGCCCAGTTAACGGCCTTAACTTAACCAACGTCTCAGGGGGAATCGGCAAGATGGCCTACGAGGAGAAGCTCTACCGAATGAAGTTGCAGCTTCTGGACGGAATAAAAATCCACAGAGACTTCAAGCTGTTCCTAGTGTCTAACAAAAACTGCTTCAGTCTCGATACGATGTTTTACACACTCACCACGGTTATTGTATTCAGCCTGAACAAAGAGTCTCTCGACAATATTCTGCTAAATGTGATAATTATGAATGAGGAGAAAAATTTACAAGAGGAAAATAAAGAGTGTTTCATGCGTCTAATCCGAGTGAAAAAAGAAATCATCAAATTAGAAAACAACATACTAGAACATATAACAAAAAGTGAAAAAAAAATTACAGAAGATGATCAACTAATTAACATTCTCCTACAGTCCAAGTCCGAAATTGATGAAAAAAATGGACAACTAGAAGAAGTGCATGACACCATTAGCAGAATGAATATGAATAAAAATATGTTTAAACAGCTAGCTAAAAAAGTGGCCATTTTGTTTACCATACTGAATGACTTGAAGTATGTCAATAATTATTATCAATTTTCTCTGGACCATTTTATTTCTTTTTTTACCTACTGTATGAAAATATTCAAACAAAATAAAAAAATTTCATCTAGTTCTACTACGGAGAGACAAGAAATTATGTTCAACTATTACTTCTTTGAATTTTTGAAGTATACTAAAGTGTCCCTTGCCAACAAGCACCATCTTTTTTTTGTGTTTTATTCCTTGTGCAAAATTATGATCTTCGAAAATAAAATTTCTCAGGAAGATTACGACTTCTTCACCTTTGGCAATGAAGCAAGTGGTGAACAGGTGCACACAAAATATCTGAAGAGACTCACCAGGGAGGATAGCCAAAAGAGCAAGGGGCATGACAATGCAGGTACGAACAGGGGTAAGAAAGGGACTAAGAGCAAGCGGAAAAAAGCAGTGGATGGTGTGGTGAGCAATGCCGCCGCAGGGAAAGACGCTTCCGATTCGAACAATTATGCGGATGGGCAGAAGGAGGAAGTGGAAGATGATGTTGATGAAGCTGAGGAGGCAGAGGAAGAAGAGGAGGACGCAGATGGAGAAGCTGAAGATGACGAGGATGAGGTCGATGTCGAAGAGGAAGACGATGCAGAGGTGGCAGAGGACGATCAAAACTGCGACGATTCTAACCGCGAAGGGGAAAACGCGGACGGAAGTGAGTGCAGCGAAACAGGAGAGCGCACCAAGCAGAGTACGCGCAATGCGAAGGAAGGTGGAACTAAAAAAGACGGAAACGAAGCGGCAGCGAAGATGAACCTGAAGGAAAACCAAAAGAACAACAATGATGTAGAAAAAGACAAACTGAAGGGAAACTTGAACACCATGAATAACAAAAGAAAAAAGCAAAGAAAAAAGAAAAAGTACGATTCAAATACTAAAATGCCAAATGATTATCAAGAAGAGGATCATTTTAATGAGTACTCCGAATATGATGATACAAATAGTAATTGCGGAGCTTCAAATGAGGATAATTTTACAGATGTGATTAATCCAGGGAATGATTGGATAAGTGAAGAAAAGTGGAAATACCTAATACACATCGAGAGGCTGAAAAACTTCGAAGGATTTATCAACTCATTTGTTAAGTCCATTAGAGAATGGAGAAGATGGTTCAATTTCCTGGAAGTAGAAAATTATGCACTTCCAGACGAATGGGAATTTAATTTGAATTCTTTCCAAAAATTAATTATCATCAAAATTTTAAGGCCAGACAGGTTAAACAAAGCCATAGAAAATTTAGTGTACGCTAATGTGTCGTACAACGATATTGAGGTAGACCATATGAACTTCGAATTTATTTTGAGACCCACCAACAGTATTGACCCCCTGACGATTATTTACAAAAATAATTTTGACCCCTTCCAATATGTGTATAATTACGCGCTTGAGAATAATCAAAAGTTGAAAAATTTAACCCTCACAAATGAGAACATTCATTTTGTGTACCATTACTTGAGGGATGCCATGGAGAATGGACACATCCTCTTCATTTCAAATTTGCATAACTCCGTTCAGAATTTGCATAAGCTAGCCAAGATTATCGAAAATGTGCTAAGCAGTAGTTCTACGTCGGGTCTCACACTCAGCAGTAGCTCCGATGAAATTGGCTCTGATGCGAACACCGTTGGGGTTGTTACCAACACAGGGATTGAACAGCGGGAGGGAAGCCCCAAATTGGAAGAACCAGGAAGAGATGCCACAGAAGGGGAGAACCATCTGGACAGTTTGCAAATAGACGGGGGGGATATGGACAAGGTGTCTAATTCCGAGCAAGCCGATCCATTGCCATACACCGCATTGATAGAAGAGGAGTACGGAAATGGCCTCGGTGCTAACTCCCCGCAGACAGATATTCTACAGTTGGAGAAAAGCGAACGTGGAAAGATACAAGTGCACCCAAATTTCCGCCTGTTCCTATCCTCCCTGCCGAGTGAACAATTCCCAACGGAATTGCTGCAGAAGAGCATCATCGTCATTCTGGAAGAGCCACCAAATATAAAAAAAAGCATATCCATTTTGTTCCAAGAGCAATGGGAATTGGAAGAAAATAAAAATATCCAGTTAAACAAATATAAAAAGTTGATGCTGAGTTTGTTCTGGTTTCATTCAATCCTTAACAATAGGAAAAAATTTTACAACTTGGGATGGAACAGCGAAAATTATTTTTTCAATAACAAAGATATCATGTTGAGTAAGTACATTTCGCAAATATTCTTCAACAAAAATATTAAAGAAATATACTGGCCTTATTTCCACTACTACATTTGTGACATTATCTACGGATCCAAAATTAATGACTCCTTTGATAAAGAGCTCCTAAATATATATGCAAATGAATTTTTCAACAACAATATATTTAAGGGGAAGTATTTATTTTCCAGCTGCCCAAATTATTACCTTCCCAACGACGTAACAAATGAGAAAGTGTTGAACAATTACCTGAAAGAAATTCCACATAACGATAGCGTAGAGATATTTGGACAGAAGACATGTGCTGAAATTCCTTTCAATACAATTGCTTCTGAAGGAATTGTTTCTCTTTTCTTTCACGTGAATTCTTTGCACCGCAATCAATATCATTTCCATAATGCGATATCGAATCATATTAATGAGAAGGAGGTGTATTCCTTTACGAAGATGCTCCTGCAGGGCATGCCGCACGAGATCTATGTGGACGATGTGATGAAGAAACAGTGCATGCAGGAGCAGTATGTGTACACCAATCTCATGTGCCAGGAAATTTACAAACACAACTTGCTTCTGCGCAGGGTTCGAAAGTCGATAGCGAAGGTGCAATGTGGTACGTCATGAGAGGAGCATCTAACCCGGTGCACTACACAACGCGAACCCACGTCGAAATGCACCCCGCCTCTTACTTCTCCCCCCCCACCCCCCACTGCAGCGCTCAAGGGCGAAACCGTGATAAATAAACAAATTTACAAAACCATCAGATACCTTAGCGAAGGATTAGTGCCAAATTCCTGGAAGACATTTTACATATCGAAAAAAAGTCTAGTTCCATTTTTTGAAGATTTAAACGAAAGAGTAAATCAGCTAAATGAGTGGAGCATCAACGGGACATTGGCAGTTCATTGGCTTGGTGGATTTTGTAACCCCAGAAGTGTCTTAAAATATATTTTATATGAATATTCCAAAAAGAATGACATCAGCCATGATTTAATAACGTTCGAATTTACTTCTATTAACAAGTCTGATGAAAGTAAGCTCAAGAGCAGAAGCGTCGAGGAGGGCATTTACATAAAGAAATTAATTTTGCAGGGTGCTACATGGGATTTCATCAGCCAGACGTTAATGGAGACGGACAATAATAATTTGTACTTCATCATTCCGACCGTGTATCTCAAAGTAGTATTAAAAAAAAAAAGCAAAGAGGACAATGACATTTATTATTGCCCCCTGTACATGTGTCAAGAGAAGAACGTTGTAGACATTAGAGAGAACTACCTGATGAAGGTGAGCTTTGCGCGAAATGTGTGCGTTACGTTTGTTGCATTTACGCAGCATAGTACAATATATTTGTCTTGCTTACATTTTTTTCATTTTTTCCATTTTTCCTCGCATGATGCATTTACAGGTTGGACTGCGCACAGGGTCGAAAAATCCATCCGAGTGGGGCAAGCTGGGCGTGCGCTTGTTCTTAACGAACGAGTGTTAAAAGGTCACGGTTAAGATGACCATATGTACAGATTGGCGATTTACAGCTTGGCGACTACCTTGCATTCGTCTGATCCCGATGCCGTAAACACAACAGGGTTGTACGATTGCGAGAACAAGTTCGCGTGAACATCTAAATGTAATAACACGTGGATTTTGTTAAAAAAAAAAAAGTACAAATAAAACATTTTTTTCTGCACCTTAGAGTTTGTATTACCAACTATGGAAAAAAAAGGAAAAAAAATTATGCCAAACGCCTGTTTAGTTCTTTTATGAACCTGGAAAACATTGCTTTCCTTTTTGGATCATAAAAAAAAGCTTTCATGAATTTTTTTCCCGCGTTATACTTTAAGGCGAATCCCGTGTTGCGCATTTTATTTTGTTGCAATTTTTGTGCGCATACGGTAACAAATATATAGAGGATATGTTGGCCGTATTCGTATGACGTTACGACGCGCTCCCTTTGCTTTTTACTGTTTTCGCATTGTTCCCTTGGAGTGACTAAGGGGATCTGAGTTCACAGGATGCATTCTTAGGCTTCACTAACGTACATTAAAAATAATGTGAAACGTTTGATTAATTTAAAAACACTTTATTCGCACTTTATTTAAAAAAAGGGTAAAATGAACGGTAACGGAACGAAATTTCCATATCAAATTTTTTTTTATCCACGTGTCGGTGATCACATTTCTGTGTATCTTTTTTATAACGTGCATAAATATGTACAGAGAGCCTCCTATACCCAATTGCGCGAAAGGGTGATTCCCGTCAACCAGGCTACTGCTTACGTACATATAATATATATGTTACATGAGCCCCTCCTGCCGCAACAGGTGCAGGGCCACATATATGTATTCAGGGATGCATAATAAAATCCCATTGGAGCATCGCACTTAATACTCACTGCAAAATTATACTGTGGATATATTTTTATGTACACGTTTTCGCGGCGTAATTTCCGAACTTCGGCAACAAAAAAAAAAAAAAATTAATTTTTCTTTTTAAAAAAAACGTTCCTTTTTTAGAATGCAAGAAAAACACGCCAACGAAAACAGTGACACGAAAATAATAAAAAGCCACATGATAGCATTTGACAAAAGAGATATGCAATAATTCGCAACAAAATTGAAGAAATTTAAAACATCCAAAAAACTGATAGCAGTGACGGACTATTTAAGAAGATCTTCTTTGCTGAGTAACTTCAAACTTCCCAAAGGTTTAAAAAACTGAAACAACATTTTCCAAAAGTGGCATTTGCGATAGAATCCCATTTTATCCTCACAAACCAGTTTGAACAAAATACAAAACCCGCGTAAAAGATGTCAGCTCCTGTAAGCCTTAAATAAAAAAAAAAAAGAGAGAGAGAAAATACGTACATACACGATAACTGCTCATTTGACGAGTGAACCAATAGTCGTGTTTTTACCCTAAATAGGATAAACATGAGAGTTTTGTGAGTTGGCAGCAATTTGTGTAGCGAGATGGTTTACGTAAAAATTAGGGGCAAATACAACCACCACTATATGATTTGTTGCTCTGTTTTTATCCCTGTCACGGGGGCGTATATATCCACATCTACATGCGTATGCTCTGTTGTGGAAAAAGAAAAACCATTTGAGATCCAGAGATATGCCAACATGGATAGGGGCAGGCTCAGGTGTGCCTGCCATAATGCCAAATCTTGGTGGAGGCCAAGAGCAAAATTTTTCTTCTTATTGTGAGAGATAAAGAGGCCAGAGGTGCATATGTGCACGGATACGCAAATGTTGAAATGTACATTTCAGGATGCACCTGGAAGAGTTGCAATTCCCAAAGCATTCGATGAGCTACTAAGTATTCTCCATTTTTAATTCCCCCCTCCACAGATATCGAAAAAGAGAAAATTTATCAACGATGGTGTTTTCCAAGCTGAATTGAATGAATTCTTGGCCCGAATTTTAGCCGAGGATGGATACTCAGGTGTAGAAGTCAGGGTCACACCGATAAGGTATGAAGAGCGGAGAGGCATCTAGAGGCCCTATGTGCGGTCTCATATGTGGACCTGTGTATTTTTCCTTTATCGAAATTACGAAATTGGAAGTGCCACCAACATACGTTTCATAATAAAAACTGCGTTAACCGTGCGTGCATATTTATACATTTCAGTAAATGCCCTTTTCTACGTGCTTGATGGAAATTGCCGCATATTATTATTATTATTATTATTATTATTATTTTTTTTCTCACCCCAGGACGGAAGTTATAATTAGGGCTACGCGTACCAGGGAAGTATTAGGTGATAAAGGAAGGCGAATCAGAGAACTCACATCCTTGGTCCAGAAAAGATTCTTCAACAAATCGACAAACAGTGTTGAATTGTTTGCAGAGAGGGTAGAGCACAGAGGACTGTGTGCAATGGCACAAGCAGAGTCACTCAGATATAAATTACTAAAAGGATTGGCAGTCAGACGTGCATGCTATGGTGTCCTCAGACATATCATGGAGTCAGGCGCCAAGGGATGTGAAGTTATTGTGTCGGGAAAATTAAGAGCCCAGAGAGCTAAGAGTATGAAATTCCGTGATGGTTACCTAATATCAACTGGAGAACCATCCAAAAGATTTGTTAACACGGCTACTAGATCGGCACAATTAAAACAAGGAGTCCTAGGTATTAAAGTTAAGATTATGTTACCCACTGCTGTTGACTCGAAGACAGGATTGCCATCCATTTTGCCTGACAACATTTCTGTTCTGGAGCCCAAAACCGAAACTATAGAAGCATTGTGAAGGGGTCATTTTCGGAATGAAATTCATCTGTACTGTACACGTCGCGCTTTCGTACAGTTACATGTATTTTATTATATGTACAAATACGTGTGTGCGTAATTGCATGGGCAAAATTGGCTACGTAAAAGTGAACAACCATATATAGGCATTATAATGCGTACGTGCAATTTTTTTTTTTTTTTTTTTAAAACTTTAAAAAAAAATAAATAAATAACTTTCAGGAAACGGTTAAAATAGTATAATTTTTAATGGTACCTTCAAATGGTGGGTTGTAGATATTGCGCATCCGTGGTGTACCTACATTGTAAGAGTTTTATTTTTCTGGGAAGGTGGTGTCATCAGGTGGGAAAAAGAAAAAAAAATAAAATAAGTACTTGTTATAAGTAAAGGGTACAAATGGAACGTAAACGATTGTAGAAGGACCCACAAATAATTTACGCCATACGTACCAATGTTCAGAGGAGCGTACGGGAAGACTTTCATTGACTCTTTAAAAATGTAGACAAAATTTTATCCTCACGAATTCGATTTTCCATTTATGCAATTACCCAGATGGGTACTCCACGCGAAGGTATACATTTGAACGCAAACAAATAACACGCCCCCAATAGCGCAAAATTGTATGAGCAAAAGTAATATGCTACTCGCATCATCAATGTTGAAACAGTGTTATGTGTTGAGACAAACACGTTCACTCTGTCTGTACATATGAACCAAGCACAGGGGCGGGGGGTGACCTTGTGCGTAGTACTTCTGGTTTCTTTAAGGCACCCCTTGCGCGTTCAAAATATTTCATCAAGTGTTACAGCTAAACACTTTTGCGTTTTATTCAAAAAATACCATAGCGCGATGGCGTTACGCGTATGCGCTCGTTGACACAATTACCGAAAAAGAGAAGAGTTAGACAAGTAATGCGAAGCGGTCGGAGGTCATCCTCCGCGTAGATATAAATATACGCAGCGCATGCAGTCATAATGTAGAATGTGCTATACACTTTATACATGTAACATAAGTGCGAACATGAGAATATTCCTTTTAAGTAAATTTGCTCAATTTAACACTCGTGACAAATCCGTCCATTGGGATAATCGTGGGGAAGCTGCGAAGAAGAGGTGTTACGCGGGGTATTCATTCGTAAGGTAGTGGAGCGTCGACACAACTTTTTGGTGTAAAAATGCACACATAGGTATAGAGTTCTCTATTAATTTTGTCTTTTGAAAATATACCCCTGGCACAACCTGCGGAAATCAAAATGGATATTCAGGAAGGATGCATAAATGTGTATTCCTACTCCCTTTACGATATTTTTGTTTTTTGTCTTCTTTGCGGCTTACCAAGTTTTGCCGTTCCCGTGATTGCTCAAGGATCTGATGGATCCAGCAAAGCCTGATGAAGTTTTAGGCAAGAGATGGAATTAAAGCGCCCCCGCCTCTCCGTTTGTTTTGAATATGTGTATGGTGATCACATTGAAGGTGACACTATAAATCGCAGTGATGGTGACCTTCTGGGGACTTACTTCTTGTGAAGTAGTCGCAGTCCAAGTGGGAGCAAACGTCCACAGATTTGGGGGTGCTCAAATTATAGGGCGCGCTTTTCAAAACATGGTCGCAGATAGACATATAATTTAAAAAGGTCGCATATCCCGGGGTGTAAAAATTGGCGGGGTTCATATACGTTACATTGTTCTTCTTTTCTACGAAATGCTGGTGATAGTGGGCAAAACGTTCCATTTGTATGTACCTCGCGAGGCATTTTTTGTTTTGGTATTTGGCTTATCACATTTTTGTAGCTTAAATTTACTCTGATAACTCTCTCGATTGAGTTTTCATTTTGTGCCATTTCGCACGATGCTCATTACGTCCAAATTGTCCACATTGCAGATGATGGCCCTTTTGTCCTCATCATTCCATATGACGTATTTACAATTGTTCAAGGTGCACGCCTCTAAGGCCTTCGAAATTGAAATAAACTTTGTCACTTCACTACTGTTCTGAGCGCACGCTAAGAGGGAAAGTGGGCCATTCCGATGTCGCAGTGGAGCATACTTCTATTGGTCACACTGATCATGCTGCATTTTATGCTGTCTTAAAATTTTATATTACCCAGAGACTGGTCCCGCACTCTGCAAAGAGCATATGCAAATACGTATATGTGTATGTGTGGGTGTGTGGGTGTGTGTGTGTGTGGGGGGGGGGGGGGTAGCAAGTGTGCGCATAGTATGGGCAAACCCTCATCGGCGCGAACTCTTGGCAGTGAAAATAAAATGTATTACACTAGGTATTTGTGTGTAACTCCTTGGTGGAAGGCGTTTCCATCGTAGAGGTTTTTATAAGAACTGAAATGAGGAGGGAAAATCATATTAGTTCCATATTATGATAGTACATGGGTGATAATCCACAAGGAATATTTCCCACGCATTTTCGTGTGAGTTGTCGCAGAAAGGGTAAACCGACAAATTATTTTCAGACCTCATGCAGATGTATTCTATGGCCAGTTCTGAAGAAAAGTCCAGGTGGGGGTTCTTAGTGTTCCTTTTGAATTTCCGCACGTCGATCTTAAAATGTGAAGAAATGTTTGCTTTTGTGAATCTTACAAAAGGGGTGTGTGGATGAGAGAGGCACAGTATCATTCTCCCATTTGTCTATCCCCCTTGCTACTCCTCTGTGGACTTCAATTTATCCATTTGGTCCTTTCTCCACACCTGGCATTGTTCCTTCTTGGAGCATATTTCCTTTGCCATGTTTGTGTAGTCATTTTCTGATGAAACGTGGAAAAAGGAAAGAGGGGCGCTTAATCAGTGAGGGAGGGCTAAGGGCAACACATCGAAGACGACAAATGCATGAGTTGCTGTTGCACGGTGGGTGTTCAGTAAGGCTCCTATTTTTAAAATGCTTTATGAACCCCTATCCAATTTGCACTTTGAATGTTTTTTTTTTTTTTTTTTTTTCCAATTTTGCTCTTGTGTAGATTTGATGGCACCCACAAGAGGGAGATCATTCAAAAGAGAAAAGTTTCATCCATTTAACCTTCCTCGTTCAGGTCTATTATGGACGCCTTTCTAACTGCCACGGTGTAGCCTTTATTGCAGGACATTCTTATTAAATCTCTCTTTAAAAGGGCGTTTTTTTAGGGGTTAACGGTGGGTTGGGGGTAATGAGGGGGTGAAATAGGGGTAGCGCGGCGCGTGAGAAATGAGAAGGAGAAAAAGAGGCAGTTATAAAATAGTTCGACTTGGTCAGATATGGTTAAGAGTAATTAGATACAGTGAGAGAAGAATAGACTTAGGTAGACGTGGTTAAAAATGGCCACCATTTTTTGAATTCCCTCCATCCTTACATCACTCAACACGTTGGAATACCTTGAAGGCAGGTAATGTTGATACCCCTCATTATTTATGAATCTGCACAAAAAAAAAAAAAAAAAAAAAAGGGCAGAAACGGGGGGTCCATAAAACAGGAAGTGAAATGCTTAATGGGTCAGAGATCACGGTGAGGCCACACTCCCATAGTGCCTATGCTCGTATGTATTGATACCCATAGTAAAAAATAGGGCTGTCTGTCTCCTTGGAGGGTAAAATTTCCTCTGGAGTGGCAAAATTAAGCAGGGCCAGCAATGCAGCGACTGCGCGGAAAAGGGGCGTCATTTTGTCGGACAGAGGAAAAGGAAAAAAAAAAAAAAATATTAAATGGGGAAAGGACAAAAAAGAAGAAGTAGAAGGACAACAAAAATGAGAACAAAAAGTAGAACAAAACCAACTCGTAAGGATAGAGATTACACCTTATTTGTTCATTCCTTACTCTCAATATGTACGTCTACAATTTAGCTTCTTTCCCCGCATATGCTATAGAGGGATAACTTAGTGTACGTACATGGAACGCACGGAGGTGTCTTTCCCATGTTATGAAAAAAAACAAAAAAAAACAATACGACACTTGCGCGACTGCGTAATGTACGCCAAAGTCCAATATGACACACTCTCGAAAGCAAAACTTTTTCTAAAAATTGATTTACAATTTATGCGTTAACAATTGGTTATAGGACGCGGTGGGGAAAAAGAACAATATGAGCGCAATGTGGTTGTTCGACTTTTTTTTTTTTTTGTTGTTGTTGCTATGTATCACCGTTTCTACGTGTTGCTATGCTTTTGTATGTTTGTGCATATGTATGTGTTCACGAATTTATGGTGGGTATTCTTTCCACCGGTCAATCCCCTAAGAGCGACAAAAGTGTGAAATAGGAACGGTTCCAAATGACAAAGGAGGGACCACACATAAGCGTTAAAACCAGTCCATTTTTTTTTTTTTTTTATGAACAATTTCGTTTTCAAATGGACGCAAGGGTCAAACATGAGGAGCAACAACAAAGGGACGAAAATGAAACCCATCGGAAAGAAACCGAATCAGAGTAAAATCGCAACCTCTGCGTCACCACACATATATATAATATAACCACCTGGACTTGTCAATACGTATACATAGAAATGGTTCAATCATGTAACAGTTGCGAAAAATAAGCGAGCACAGGAAAGGTTCAAGGATGATCAAAATGTGCATCCACTATGTTGCAAATTGTTCATATCAATTTTAGATTGGTTACACCATTGACATTATTATATGCCTCAGTCTTAACACACTTTTGCGAGTGTGCATTATTTTTCCCTCATGTTTTCCTTTAAGTGGATTTAATTTTACGAAAATTTTGGGGGAAAATAAAACAAAAACAAAGGATTCTCATGCGTTAATTTTTTGTTCCTTTGCGAATTATGCATATTTTATTTTTTAATGAATAAAAAATATGAACAAATGGTTTGTGTATCTTTTTTTTTTTTTTTTCTTGATTAAGTGGTGCATGTGGTACAAATAGTTAAAATGGGGAAAAAAAAAAAAAAAAAAATTGAACAAAACGAATGAACAAGCGAATGAACGAAAGAACGAACAAACAAACGCAGCTATTCAAACACACTGCGCATGTGCGACCGATTTAACCTTTTCGCAGAGCATATTTTCATGTGTTGAATGTCTATTCATTTGTATGAATAAATATTTGAAATTCATTGCGACAATGTAGCTAATCGCAAATATCGTTTCGCTCACACGTACATATATTTTATTCCTAGTACTACCAACATTTGCCGCCTTTTTTTTTTATTCTTTTTTTTTGTTAACCTTCTGGGTTAAGCTTTTCTCGCCGCACCACACACACATATTCGTTCGTCACATATGCCTGTTCCTTTTTGCCCCCTCGTCCCTTTTGAGGATCGCCGAAGCTTCTCATTTGCATGTGCAAGTGTAACAGGGGAGGGGGAGTTCTACGCCGAACAGGCCTATGCTTTGTCGTCACCTGTGCAGGCGTTGAGGTAATCGCGCGCATGTGTTGACATGTATGCGTCATCGTGTGAACCTCCTCGTGTAGGTCTCCCCTCGCAAAAGATCGCACGTACACGTATTTGTTCTCCTTGTTTGCTCCCCCTGCTCTTTCACCTCCTCGTAACGGGGGGAAAAAAAAAAAGATCAGCTGCAAGTGGAAGCAGGGAGGAGGAAAACCAAACGAGAACGTAATTTTTAAAATATTCAATTTTTACGTTCTCCCCTGCGTCCAGGTAAAAATAAAGGGCAACACCTTTTTTTTTCCGTTTGTCTTCCTCCACCCATTCTGCCTCCTTACAACCTTGTTGCGAGCATATACATGCAAGCACATGCAGTTGTGGGGTGTGCACATGGTACCGTTTTTCCGCTGACCGTTTAGCCGCCCTTTTTTTCCCCCCCGCCCCTACTATTCCAACCGTAGCTAGTCCCCATTTGTAAGACAAATGAATAATGGGTCGTTTAAAGAAACAAACATTTGCAGAAAGGAAAAACAAAAGGGAGAAATTCCAGCGCCTCGTTTTGGACACACGGCTACATACCTAGGAAACAATAAAGTGGCAGTATTCGGTGGGGCGATAGGAGACGCAGGGAAGTATAACATAACGGATGACGTGTACATGTATGATTTATCACAAAACAAATGGAAAAAGATAGTAACGGAAAATACCCCATCTGCGAGGGCAGCGCATGCAGCTGCTTGTGTTGATGAGCAGCAGTTAGTAATATATGGGGGTGCAACGGGAGGGGGGTCCCTGTCCTTGGACGATTTGTATATACTAGATTTACGAAAGGAACAACGATATTCTTGGATGACGGTGCCTACCAAAGGAGTAACCCCAGGGAGAAGATATGGACATGTCATGGTATTTAATAAGCCCAATTTAATTGTAATTGGTGGGAATAATGGTCAGCATACGTTGAATGATGTTTGGTTTATGCATGTAGAACTTCCTCCATTCGAATGGGTTCAAGTAATCCTTTCAAATAATTGTAAGGCACCTCCTCCAAGAGTGTACCACTCAGCTGATATGTGCAAAGAAGGACCTGCGACAGGAATGATTGTAATATTTGGTGGAAGGAGTGCTGAAAATAAATCGTTAGATGATACATGGGGGTTGAGACAACACAGAGATGGAAGGTGGGATTGGGTGGAAGCTCCCATAAAAAAAGGAGTACCTCCCGAAGCGCGTTATCAACATACTGCCGTCTTTATAGGCTCCAAAATGTTTATTTTAGGGGGGCGAAATGATAACGGGTGTGCCATCCCTTTGTCCACAGCGCTATACAATACGGAGACAATTGAGTGGGTAACTTTGCCAGCCATTTCCAAATTTAGACACACATCCTGGATGCACAAACACACCATTTACACCTTTGGTGGATTCACTCACCAGACTCAGCAGTTCCCAACCAACGAGTTGGAATGCCTGGACTGTTGCATCCTTGTGAATGCGACCACAGGTTTAGATTCGGATAAGAGGAAGACCCTAAAGCAATCTTCCCTGAAGCAGAAGCAGCTCTCCAGTGAAAATGTCAAGCATATAGGCAGCGAAGTGAGAAGTGTAAGCAGTTCGTTTAACCTGAACAGTCAAGACGTTATCAATCCACATCAGCCTAGTGCACTAGCAAGCAGCCAATACGCAGGGACCAAACAAATATACGACATGAAGAATAGCGCCATCGCAGGGAATACAGTAGCAAATATGCAAAATGCGCAGGACGTACATAACGCAGAGAGCGCACAGAATGCGCAGCAGAGGAACATGCAGGACTCGCCAAGCTCGTCGCTGTTCCGCCTGTCCAGTAGACCCATGTCGAATAAAATAAGGCTAGCAGCACATGCACATGCAGTGCAAGAAACGGGGAGCGACTTTGCCTTGTTGGTTAGAAAAATATCAATTGATAAGTTGGAAGAAGAAGGAAGAAAAATAAATAACGGCGTCTTATGCACACCAGTGAATTACATTAGTGAATTCAAAAACACAGTATATGATAAAATCATTACGACTTTGCTGAATCCAAATATAACCCAATTCGAAATTCAGTACCATCATAATACGGAGTCAATTTTTACAATTCCCTGGGGAAACATCTCCATCCTATGCTCCATTGTAATGGACATTTTCAAGCAAGAAGATATGATATTAAAATTAAGAGCCCCCTTAAAAATATATGGAGATATACATGGACAATATTATGACCTCATGAGATTATTTCAGTTGTATAAATGTCCAGTGGAAGAAGACTTAGGAGAGAAATTAAATGCTATTGGTGACATTGATTCAAATGATTATTTATTTCTGGGTGATTATGTTGATAGAGGTTCCAACAGCTTAGAAGTCATTTGCTTACTTTTCGCATTAAAATGTAAGTACCCCAAGCAGATTCATTTGATAAGGGGAAATCATGAAGACATGGCCATTAACAGTTTGTATGGATTTCAGGAGGAATGTAAAAGGAGACTAAAGGAAGACATAAGTGATAAGTCTTCCTGCTGGGTTCAGATAAATCAAGTTTTTGAGTGGCTACCTATAGGTGCTATTGTAGAAGAAAAAATATTATGTGTTCATGGAGGCATAGGAAAAAGTATTCATACCATTTCGGACATATCTCAATTGAGGAGACCATTGGTTGTTGCTCAAGTTCCTCAAAATCTAAATGAACAGAAGGTTACAGATTTGCTTTGGTCTGATCCTACGGACAATGATTCCATCTTAGGAACCATCCCGAATGATATAAGAGACCCCGATGGTACTGGTCATATTGTAAAGTATGGGCCTGACCGGGTTCACAAATTTTTAGAGGACAACGATCTGCAATTGATTATACGTGCCCATGAATGTGTCATGGATGGATTTGAGAGATTCGCGGGGGGTAAACTCATAACCCTTTTTTCGGCTACTAATTATTGTAATTCGCATAAGAACGCTGGAGCTTTGCTCTTCGTCCGTAGGGACCTCACCGTCATTCCGAAATTGATATACCCGGCCAAGGACGAAGTTCGCTTCTTCAACACGTGGTAAGTAGGCACGGACGCGGCGGCTAAAGTGCGCAACTACCTCTGCATCAAAGTGTCACTCTAAGGAGCACGTGCGGACAACGTATAATTAGTAGTACATGCTCATGTACATATCACCCCCCCCCCTTTTTTTTTCCTTTTTCAAGGGACACGAAAATGACCGAGCTGAGACCCCCGACACCACCAAGAAATCAACCCAAGATGCGGGAACTGAACTTTGGAGCTCCGTAGGATATTTCTTTTTTTTTTTTTTTTCCATGTACCATTTGACCCTCCATGCGTATGTGTAATTAAAATTTTGTATACACTTATGGGATTCACTTTTGAGCAACGTTGGTTTTTTCTTTTTCGTTTTTTGTATCATTTTGCACTTTCATGTTCGTGTTCGTTTTCTGCTTCCCTTTTGTGAACCCCCTGCCGTCACCAGTCCCGTCATTTCGTCTCTCACGTGTCTCAAAGCGAAAAGGCGGCATTTCTCAAATGGGTAATAGAAACCTTCGTAAAAAGCCTCATTTGTGTAACACTCATTTTATTTGTGATTTAGAACGCCCTACTCGTTCGCGCGTAGGGAAATAAAACGTTTACTCCAGGAGGAGTCTTTTTTTTTTTTTTTTTTTTAAATACGTTCAAATGACGTTCGAAAGGGGGATACACACACCTGAATGGCATTTTACGCGGGTATAGAGGGAAGAAATGTGTTTGGAAAAAGGAAACGTGAGTCGTCAAGGTGCATGATCATTTCTGTTCACCATGCTCCTCATTACATTATTTGTAAAATTATTAACGCAGTTATTTATTCTGCGTCTTTTGTTATGCGCGCAACATTATTAAATAAACTGTGATATGTGTTGGTATCATGTTGTACAAAAAGAAAAAAAAAAAAAAAAAAAATCACATTAACAAATAATATAATATGCGGGAGGGGGATAAGCGTTGTAAAGACGGATAGCAAAGGTATCAAACGAATCGGATGAAAACGAAATGCTTAAAAAAGGGCACATAATGTGCAGCACAAAAATTGTATGCTCTAATCAGGCTTATAATGCATGAAGTGCGCATCTTCCCCTTATGGCACTTTCTAACAACATGTCAATAGCACGATTGTGTATAGGTCTGTAAATATTCGGACGGCCCATAGATTTAGCGTGCCATATTTTTTGTGCCCCCCACATTCTCGAAGGTTGGCCTGTCTAATCCAATTTGCAACGCGAATGGGGGCGCACTCTAGTGGTCATTTCTCACTGATGGGGCACACAGCAAACGCAATACAGCACAAAAAAAAAAAATAATAAATAAGTAATAATTCTCATTGGTGTGTTTTCCCTTTGCCGCTTAACCCCCTAGGTGTACTCGGCACCCACCGTGGAGGAGGATTTTTTCCTCCCCTGGTAGCTACTAGACTTTTGGATAACGTTCCTATTGTGGCACCATCTTGCGACAGTCGTTCTGTGCACTCCGTATATTGCAGCTATTTGTGGCACTGACAAATTTTTCTCATGTAGCAATTCGCTTAATTTCTCGGCTGTGGGGGGTCCATTGTTTCCTAACCTTTTTTTCTTGCTGGCACTTAACCCGAATGGTTGTGGTTTGTTCGTGTTCATATTGGCATTTTTCTTTTCCTTTTGCATTTTGTCCCTTTTTTTTAAATTGCTGGATGACGGGAAGGACCCACCGCTTCGGTCGTCATCCTCCTGATGTGAACTGTCCTGCTGCGGATCCCCCTGATGAGAACCCTCTTGCTGAGCATCCCACTCCTCCTCATCCCCATCACAGTATTCATTGAACATGCCATTATAATTCGTAAAGTTCACATTATTCCTCACAGGTCTATCACTTGTGCGATTTTCTAAACCGACCCAGTTGACTCCATTTACAAAATAATTCCCCATGTTATAATTGTATAGGTATCCATACGGGGTAGGGAAATTGTTCACGGGGGGAGACATACTCAAATATTCATTTGTCATTTCGACGTTGTCATTTTTCTTCATATTGTAATTATGTACATTTATATTATTCCTCATTTCTGCACTTTGGTAATTTTTCATGTTATTATTTCTTCCATTATGATAAGAGGGAGGCGGCATTATACCATTCACGCTGAATTGCTTGTACAGATTTGCCATGCTCGTGTCTGGATCGCTCAATTGGTAATGCCCATAGGGGGGTTGGTATGCATCTGCTTGTCTCATCCGGTTGACCATCTCTTCGGTCATTTTATATTTCGTTTCATTCCCCGTGTTGTTTATGGAAACGACTATACTGTTCATGTGGTTCGATTTGTTTATGTCTATTCCAGTGCTCCGGCTATTGAGGGGACTACTTCCGCCCATGCCGTTCATCACACTATCCCTAATATGTGCATCATCCATGGGGGCTCCCATTTCGTTTTCATTAAAAAAGGAATGTGTTTTGTTAATATTTATCGATTTCTCTTCCCCGTTTCCTCCAAATGGAGAGCTACCGCCATAGTATGAAGTGTCCCGATTTGCTTCTACCAAAGGAGCACCCATGTCCAAGTTGGCAATGCTGCCACAGTGGTTGTTATTAGGGGGTTGGTTCTTCATGTTAAAATAGCCAATATCGTTATTCACTAGGTGAGTGTTATGAACGGGGTCCTTCACCCCCTTTGAGGTGTTTATTACATGTTGAACTTTTGTGCTACATGCATGCTCGTCATTGTTGCTTGACGTGTTGGGATGATCTGCAACTTGTTCACTCGTTGTGTTATCTTCATGTGAGTGGTTCTTTTTTTGGAGCGGAGGGGTGACATTATTGCTTGGGTGGTAGGCAGAATCTATGTGAGGATCCGTGTCTGTGGCGTTAGGGGAGGCACTACCATCGTGTTTGTCGCCGTCTACGCTTCTTACGCCCGTGTCCCCGTTAATGGTACCCTCTGGATAGGTATCCACATGCGAATTTGTACCTTCTGTGGAGGGACAATTATCCCCCTCTTCTTTCCCCTCACCCGCGTCTTCCACCCCTGGCGCTGAGCCCCCAGTGTCTGGGCCACTATTTTGCGAAGAATTATTATTCGAGTTTAAGGGGGACTCCTTTTCTACTTCCAATTTGTCATGAATGTAATCATTATAGTCACTGCTTTTTTTTACATCCCTCTTAAGATGGTCCTCACCCGTTTCAGTTATGTTACTCGCCTGTTCGTCACCATTTGGTTCATTACCATCGCACTGTTGATGGTTTTTTCCACCTACATCTGTATTGACCACATGCTTGCTCCCGTCCCCCAACAGTTCGTTTATTTCTTTGGGGGGGTAACTCTTCTCATTAACCTCCCTATGATCATCTCCTCCTTTGCATTCCCCGCTGGTGGTGCTACCTGTGTGTGTGCAATTTAAATCCTGGCTTACATCGTTAAGGTAGCCTTGTTGCTTTCCTTCCAGTTGATTAACTACACCCATCGCGTCCTCATTATTGTCCTTCTCCACCATATGTTCACTACTGGGCTTGTGCTGAGGGTTCGCAGAATCAGTGCCATCCTGAGTAACACCTGCAAAATGGTTGTCGCTGGTTCTGTTTGGTAAATCTACACACGGCTGCTGCATTTGTTTGCTTGCATCTATGTGGACCGTCCCCCTGTCTACATTATTAGCGACGTTTTGTTGGCCTTGATTAGTATAACTCATGTTCTCATGTGGCTGGTAGTAGCTTCCACAGTTATTCCCACCGTCTTGTCCATTTTGTGTGAAAGAATTAGTAGCATGTGAAAAATAATTATTCGTTAATGCAAAGTGGGGGTATCCATTTTGGTTCATTAAGGTATTGCTTTCCCTTTGCATTTGTTCATATAAAAATGGATTCGTGTTCCCCATTTGGTTGTACATGTTGTGGGAAAAATTATCAAATTGGTTCAAGCAGTTGTTCGACACAGTTAGGTAGTTACTGACATTATTCCTGTTCATACAATAACTTATACCTTTTAAATTCCCTTTTGAGTAATTGTGCACACTTGAATTTATGCCATTCATATAGTTTAGAGCACCAGGTACATATTGAGGGTTAAAGGCGTTTGTCAAATTTGTACATTTTGTAAATTCCACACTGGAGTTATTCACCAGGATGTTATTACTGTCTACACAGTTTATCCTGTTTTGTACATTGTCCAATTTACTCAAATGCTCGATGGTATAATTCATGAGCATGTTGTGATTACTGTTAATGATATGGGTCCCATTCGTTCCACCCAATGACCCCTTACTGTATCCCCTATCGGTGCCTTCTCCGTTCCTCTGGCGAAACAAGTCGTTGCGCATAAATGCCATGTTATTGTCGTAAGGGCTTTGTGCATAGTACGAATATGCCATATGAGAAGAATTTGAAATGGGCAAATTCGCCCCGTTCGTATTCTTCGCGTAACCCATTTGGCTCTTGTACACAGTGGATGGAATTCCCTTCGCAGGGCCACCCCCATTCTGCCCAAGGTCATTAGCATGGAACAGGGATCGCTTTGACACACGGGTAATTTTTGTACACTTGTCCAAATTATGCAAACCTTGTTTTTTATTATGAACGACGATAATTTGTTCTCCGTTGTTGTACGCATCGTATATGAATTGTAAGTCGGGAGACAACTGAAATTTGCTGTCGTCTGTTTTTTTTTTCTTCACAGGGAGCTGGAGGTTACCTCGTGCTTCTGGTCTTTGCTCCAGTCTGTTCTGTACGCTGTGATTCACTTGGTCACCTTCACTCAAACCTGAGGTGCGCCTTTTTCCCCTACGTTCACGGGGCCCGCATTGCAGATCACCTCCCCCTCTGACTTCTTCCGATTTATCGAGGGTTTCATTCCCCGCTTCGTCCAATTTGCTCGTTACGTGTGGAAAACACGTGGCTCCATCAGCTAATACCTCCAACGCACCCTTCCCATTGTGGATTGCCCATTCCTCCACCCCACATTCGACCGGATAACTACTCAACCTCTTCGCCTTATTAGACAATGTGGAGATGTACGATCCTTTTCCATTTTGTCCAACCACACGCGGTGCACTAATATATGCCCCGTCTTGCAAAATAATTCTTGTGAGGATATCCATATCTTTTGATAGACTCTCTCGGCTACAATTGCGTGGGATTTTATTTTTCTGCGTACTTGCATTATTTTTTACAAATTCGTCGGAAATTTTAATTAAATTGTAAACAGTCTTCCAACTGTTTGGGGATCCACTGTCCTTTTCCTGGAGCTCATTTTTTGTGTGTATTTCGGTGGAGCTGCTGCGGAGGCTATCGCTTTTGCTGGGGGTTATGTCGGATGGGAGATCATCTCTGGGTTCTCCCTTCACATCGGAGCCCCCGTTCCATGATATATGGGGCTTCGTAAAGTTCGGGGAGTGATCCATAAGCGTGCAAGTCATGAGATAGGCATACAATCTGTTTATTTTGTTTTTATAAAAAGAAATATTGTTGATAATATGCCGGTCCTCATTGTTTATGTGAATTTTTTCTCTATATTTGGCATCGGTCAAATGAAGCACCGTGAACAGTTTGTTTCTGACCACCGTGTTCAAATGTTTCCGAATGAAATGTTTACTGTGTGAACGGTAGGACCCACTAGCATGGTCCATTTTTTTTTGCGTGTCACTCAATTGAATAAACGTCCTTCCGCTATCATCTAACGAATGCACCATCGTTTTCATTTTCGTCCTAAAGTCACCATTAGAAATTTCCCCTTGTTTTAAAAAAGGAGCAGATATGATTTTTTCGCACAAAATATCGTTGTTCCATTTTTCACCCATTTGGTGATAAGTCTTTGGCCTGCACCCGTTTGGATTCGTCTCCTTAACACTGGGGAAAAGATATGCTTGTTCCTCTTTTATAGGTTCCTTTAGGGGACGCCTTTCAAGCGAATCCTTGGCGTCATGTGTCTCCTCCACCTGGCTATGATTATCCTCCTCTTCCCCCTTCTGCTGCTTCCTTTCCTGCGCTACCGGTGAGCCAAATTCATTCAGCCCAATTTGGAGAAAATTATTTTCGACCCATTTTTCCTTTAATTTAAAAAGTTGATTAACAAATTTGTGGCATAAAAACAATTGGTAATATTTTTTTTTTTTTTTTTTTTCTTCTTCTTCCAATATTCTTTTAGGACCTTTAGAAATTGGCCCTTGACTCTGTCTGTGCACATTTCGGACAATTTTAAAAATGGGAACTCATCGACATATTTTATTTTTTCATTTAGTGGTGAATTTATAAAATCGTTTTTAAAGTCTCGTATTTGTTTGCTCATTTTTTTATTGCAGTGGAAATGATCCATATAATGGGTCACAATTTTTAAAAAATTCATTTCCTTTTTATCGTATGTATTCTGGTCGTAGTAGTGTAGGTAGGGCAGATAGGATGACATCAAAAAGAAATCGTTTAGGAAAGAGTTTATGTAACTTTGGAGATACTTTTCAGCACTATCTCGGAAGCTAATTAGGCGATTTAGTTTTTCCATTTCTCCTTGTCCCCCATTGGACGTGTCCATGTTGTAGCTTAGAATCTTTCGCCAGTCGAACTTTTCTTCCGGGGGTGTGATTGCGGGTGTGCCCTGCTCCGGTCGGTAACTTTCCACTTGACGCTCTTCTCCTTGGTACTCTTTACCGTGGCCATTTTCATCTCCCCGCTGCTGTTGTACATCACCAGCCACACTCATGTCACCACTAACTTGTTCTCCGGAGACTCCGCCACGTGACGAGTCGATATCTCCTCTCTCTTCGGAACAAAGGCCATTGAACCTTTCCTCACTTGGAGGGTTTCCCATTTCTCCCTTGTCCTCCTCTGGATGGTAATCACCACTCGTTTCTCTTCCTATTTCCCCCTCCTCTAGTGCATCCATATGAGTACTACCCCCCCAGACGTCTTTAGCCTCGTGGGGATCTACCTCGTTACTTGCCTCCATAAGCGGTTCCTTTAAGTTACCCTTGTTTATCTCTTCTCCATCGCCGCTTATGACGTCTTCCCCTGGGTGTCCCCCTTCCCCTGCATCATCATCACCATCATTAACAGCACCACCATCACCACCACCATCTTGGGAAATCCCCTCAGCAAATGACTCCGTCCTACACCCTTCTACTTCATCATTGGTGTTGTCAACATTTTTGACCAGCGTCCTGGGGTTAGCTTCCTCTACCCCCGAGCAACTGCAAACATCAGATGCAGAGGACAAGTTATGTTTAATATCGGGCTGTCCAATTATGTGTTTAACTATACGGGAGTGTGTTTCTTCCAACACGGGGTTAATTTTATGCATTTCTTGCACATGGGGAGGGGGAAGATTCTCACTTGGTGAATCTTTGAATTTTTCACTCGGACATTGCGAAGACTCATCATCTGCGTCATCTTCGTTATCATGTTTGTTATGGTCGCCACCTGCGCTGTCTTCACCGCCATCAGCGACCTGATCATTGCGAGCCGGACCGCTGCTCTGGCTGTCGATGGTAACCCGGCTAGGACACGTATCGTTGCTACGGTTGTGGTTTGACCAAGCAGGATTAATAAAATTTTCTCCATTTGTTCGAAAATTATCCTCTGTTTTTTCTTCATCGTTGGGGGCTAAGTTCACCCCATTAAGGTCTCCTTCCTGCAGCCTTGCACATACATATTTCGTGCCGTTACAATTGTTTAGGCTGATGGAATTTTCCTGTTCATCTGTGTCACCATGGTGACTATTATGGTGTATATTTAGAAGAGCCTTCACATGCTCATCCTTATTATCACTTACCGTATGAATATGTTCATATTTTTTTTTTAATTTTTTTTTTTTCTTTTTGAATGATTTACCACCAGAATGAATGACTGTCTTAAGGTTTGACTTTTCTTTAGGGGTGCTCTTCAAATGAGATCGTTTTGGTGTTCTCGCTTGGCTATTTTTTGCGGTGCCCATTTTAGACCCTCCTTTTGACCCCTTTTTGGAGCCCCTTTTGGACCCCACTTTTTTCTCGTGCAGCATTTCCTTAACTTGTGCTTTCTTGTTATCCATTTTGGACTTGCAATGCGCCCCCTCTCTCGAGTTGTGAATGTCCATTTGGTCACTGTGCATAGACTTTAGGGGTATCCTTAAGTTGGCATGATTATGCAATGTGGAAGCGATACAGAAAAAGGAAAAAACACGCTGGTGGTATTACCCCCCCCCATTAGCGTATCCGATGTGTGTAATAACACAGCCTATACGAAAGTGGATGCAACAAAATTTAGGCACATACAAAAGTAGAGTGCATTAATTTTCTACATGCACTTTTTCAGGGTTAACCACATGTGCGCATTAGGGTATATTCTTCAAGTACCGGCATGCATTTTCGCAGTCACGCTGGTGAGTTAAAAATACAGTGGCTAGCTGGGATAACCACACATGCATGAGATCAATGTGTCATAAAATGAAAAAAAACAAAACGGTGCAATGCAAAGTGCAACAAACAAAGCAGTGAAAAGGAGACGCAGAAAAGCACAGCAAAACAATACGGCAAAAATGCATACAGGAAAAAATAAATACGCTCTAATACAAAAAAAAAAAAAACAGGCACTTATTGCATCCCTATGAACCCTAGCCATACAACAAACTGAGCTGGTCAAAGGGGAACAGGCAGGAAAAAAAAAAAAAAAAAAAAAAAAAACATTTGCATTTACATAAGCATTATCTACACATGAAGCGGCGCTTTCTTTCGGGAAAACTCCCTTCTGCTACACCTAAAATTCATTTTTAACTATTATATACGTATTTTCTGGTATGTGTAAAGCAGTCTTAATAGCATGTGAGCGTACGTTATAGTGGGATACTTTCCTGCCTTGTGCCCACTGCCGTACGAGCATGCCTTATACACCTCGGGGGGATACGGTGCCGCTTACACATTAATGTATATATATAACTGAGTACATAAAACTATGTACATATAACCATGCGTATGTATAATAGAAGGGCAAATGTGCACGCGCGCTACGACGTCATGCGTATCTTTTAGCGTAATTGTGGTGACGAAAACTCCACCCATGCGATACTTTTTTTTTTTTTTTTTTTTTTTATAACTACATAATTGCGTATGCGCATACTCACCAATTAAATTTCTCACATATGACGGGGAAAATAATATTCACATAACGTAAAAACGTTAAGCGTTTGCGGGAAAGCGGCATTAATTTATTTTACATGTCTAACGAAGTAAATTAATATAGCTTTTTTTTTTTTTTTTTTTTTGACAAACGTAGCAGTTAAGTTGTTCCTTTTTTTTTTTTTTTTTTTTTTTTTTTTTGGGTGTTTATTCCCTTGTCAGGGATTGGAAATACTGTAATACATTCATCATCGCATACACACGCGTGTACATACGTAGGTGAATTCGCCGAGCCCCATTTGGATCCTCATAGCACATACCATAACTTAACGCAGTGAGGATGGAAAGAGCGTCCAAATGTAGACCTTCATTTTGTGGAAGACACAATTGTACATTCCCCCTTTGTGAAAATAAAATTATTATGTGAAAAAAAAGGCAAGCAAAAAACAGGAAAAAAAAAAAAAAAAAAAAAAAAAAAAAAAAAAAAAAAAAAAAAGGACAAATAAGTCAACAAAGGGGTGAACAAATAAATGAACAAATAAAGCCGTAACAGTGGACAGTGAATAGGTCAACAAATCCAACTGTGTGTTCTTTGCACGGCAACTGGACAAAAGGGGCCCATTGGGGGCCTCCCATTCAGTTACACCTGCACATACATAAGTACTTATACATTTGTGCGCATTATAATGGTGAGTTTTCTTTAAGCGTAAGGCGTTCATCGCGCATGAAGGGGGGGGGGGGGGGAAGGAAAAGGAATAGAAGCGCCAAATAAGAACATTACAAGCGGGCGCATTCGTTTAAACGATAAAGCTTTATGCTAACCCTTCTGGACGCAACCTTGAATAAGCTACACTGGGACATTAGTGTCGTATCACATTAGCCAAAAGACGCGAGAATACACGTGCTCTACTTGTAATCTCGATTAGTGACATGTAGCTATTTTTGGTTTCCATGTTCTACAAATTACACCGTAATGGGGAAAAAAATGGCGAAAAGTATGCTTCTATTTTTTGTACAGAATAATAATCTGCCTTTTAAGAAGTGAAGCACTGTCGAATGGGAAATATTTTTCCACCCATGTGTGTGTATACCTAGGCGTGTGTTTTTTTTCCCCTCCACCGTTGACATTTTTTTTTTAAGCTTCCGCCAAAAGGGGATGATATAAGTTGAACAATTCTGGTGGTAAAAGTGGCGGCGCGTTGACTAATGATACGTTGCGCAGGCGAAAAAAAAAAAAAAAAATGCAAACCTTTTTAAATATGTACAAAAGGAAGGCTGTACCGTGCCAGTGAAAAAATCTCCTCACCTTCCTTTTGCGCAACTATACAATTGCTAAACTGTTAATTAAAAATGTTCATACAAATGTG